CCCCCCCCCCTATTTACTTCACCAATAAACATGACAAAACTGAATCAGCCTGGCTGTTCTAAGAGTATGAATGTCAGGGAAGAGGAGATCAACGAGCCTGATTCTACCCTGATGACGGCACTGGTGGACCTTGACCATTTTGGAGACAACATGAACTTCGAGGAGTAGCTCATAGCCGCTTAATTTAACCCCTATCTCTATCATACCTGCCAAAAAATGCACTTAATCCTTCACGCTGTTCCTCGCGACTTGTTTTCTGCCGCGATCGATACCAGCATCACCTAACATACCACTCGCAAATGGCGCCCATTCACAAATGCGGGTCCATGGTAATATTTATGGACATTCCTTCAGTTTTCTCTTTGACTCAGTCGCGGCTGGATCAGTAGTGAATATCCAAGTTTCCCAACCTTTTGTAACAGGGTTAAGTTCTTCTCTCTTGCTACGAAATTACATTTAGCAGAAGGAAGGAAGATAATTGTTTAAAGAGAGACGTCATTAAGTGGCTGCATAGGGAAGGAAACCTGGACAGCAAAATTCATTATGTGTCCAGAAATGCCTTGGCACGTGATGCTTGGTGCTGATTTTTCACGCTACACTAAAGTGGGTCTGACTTATGCAGAAGGAGCCTTTTCCACTCATCAAGTCACCGAGGCAAACCCAGATACTTTACTACCGAAAGATGAGGGAGATGACATCTGCAACCCTTTTAAAGCTGCAGTAATTCTCAAAACAACCTAGTTAATCTTTCTGTGCAATAGGCGAACATTTTCAATGACGAAAGAAGCGAACTTCGTGAGCTCCTTCTTAAGCTTGCAAAACATCTTCTCATGGCAAGGTGCAAAACTTGGACGAACAAATAATGTCGAGCATATGACTGATGCCGACGAAGTTAGACCCATCTGGTAACTCCCCACATGTGTTTTACCACCTTAACTAGAAGAAGTAAGCCATCCGGTTGAGGAGATGATTCAAGGCGAGCTTATACAGCTGTCTGGGACAACATGGGACTCTTCCATCATGCTGGCAAAGAAGAATGATAATAGTCTACGGTTAAGTACCCACTATAAAAAGTTGAACGCCGTAGCTAAGAGGGATACGTTTTCCTTACCACATATTAAGGACTCACTAGGTTCCTCACATGGGTTGTAGTGGTTCTCTGCCCTAGACTTGAAGTCGGGATATTGCCAAGTAAAGGTGAAAGGTGCAGCCAGAGAGAAGACAGCATTTAAATGGCTAAACGGACTTCATGACTTACAAACGATGCCCTTTGGACTCTGTAATGCAGCAGCTATTTTCCAAAGCCCGATGCAAACAGCATTAATCGGCCTATGCTGAAAACATTTTATAATCCATCTCGAAAACATTCTCTTTTTTGGTGGAGATATTTGAGAGCATAATGCCAGCCTAAAACCATTGTTGAATTACCTACATGATGCAGGGTTAACCCTAAGCCCGAAGAAATACCGTTTGCTGAAGCGTTTGGTCAACTTCCTGG